CCAATTTTAAATATGTAAGCTCAGACCCTACCCTTCACGAGCTGAGCCAAAGGCCCATGAAAAGCCTCTGTTTCATTTACCACCCCTACTTACAATGACAAGTTAACAAATTTTGTGAGAGGGGGCGAGGAATTCAAAATTCACGATCGAACAACTCTAATTTCAACCGGGCAACACAATAGTAGATCAACTCGTATGTGAGGAATAATAAAGACAAAATAGGGACAAACTTATATTACACACTATCTTTATTTTAAATCTAAATTAATCTAAGACAATGGTTTACATCTTGAGAGAACAATCGCCCCTACCACTCCACCACTGCTTTACACACACAAAATTTTCAATTCATAAATTTCACACCAAAATACAATTATTCGTGAAATCTCTAACAAACCCACCAACCTAAAATCCATTTACTTCAAAACATCAAGCGATCAATTTTATTAGGTACCTACTCATCCATTTCAAGCTAGTTCGCTAATTAATGAATGGGAGATCCATTAGACGGTGGCGCATGACCGTTTGGAAGTGACTGTAAAAGAAGCCCATATTCACTCGACCACTGACGATGTAATAATAATGGCCTGCAAGCAACTCCAGAATGAGGAGAAAAACCAAAAATAGTGACGGTGATCAGCAGAAGCTGCACAACTTTGAAGAGGATCTTACTGTACGAGAAAGCCATATATCTTTTCTCTAAGTAAACGAAACAAAAGAAAAATCCTCTTTTTTGTTTTGCTTTTCGATCCCCTTGCGACCCTTAATTTGAGTTTGTGATAAGAAATGTCTTGGTGGATGAAGGGGAATTAGACATACACAACATTTAAATAGACCCGTCTTTGATGTTGTTTCTAACGTAGTTTGAAACTTTAAGTTGACCACGAATTGTTTCAAGGTAGGAAAATTAGAACGGAAAACCTCGGACTCCAAATTAAATGTCCGTCCACGCGCAACAAGTGTTTGAAAATGAAGATAAACTAAAGAAGAAAATTAGGTTAAATATTATATTAAATCTTGCTATACTTCTCATGTAGTCTTGTATTTATATAAAAGTCACTGGGATTAATTTAATATGAGGAATTTGATTAATTTATATTAGATTATATATTCAATTTTTTATCATTATATCAAAAAAAAACATTTATATAAGGGACGCAAAAATAAATATTGAAATAGGAAACAAGTTCTATCTTTGTAATTAATACGTCTCCTGATAAAAGGAAAAAGAGAAAAGAAAAGTGGAATGCAACGTGTGTGTCTGTGTCAGAGGCTATTATATATTTCTATATTTACTATGATCAGATGGCCATTGACATGCAACACGACGTGTGTTCTGAGTTATGACCTACTCCGGATCGGGATTCTTACGATAGAAAGAGGATGATCACCTATGGTTTAAGTACCTACACGAGATATAAGATACGATATAATACGTCGCTCTATTAATTTTTAAAAATATTATATTTTGACACATTAAGATATATTGTGATATTAAATAATATTTTTAATATATATAATATAATTTATATTTAATATATATAATAATTTATAATAAATCATATAACTAATCAAATATGCAAATTACATAATATAAATATAAGGTAAAAATAATTTTTCATTTCAAATTTCATAATAGAAAAAAATTGATTTATAAATTATTTTTTCATATTTAATTAATAAAATAAAATCTAGACCTGAAAAAAATATGTCAGATATGTGTCGGAGTATTGATCGTGTGTCCCAAAATATTAACTGCGTGTGGATGCCTGTTGGAACTTGTTGGAGTGTATTAGTGTCCGACATTTTTATTTTAAAAGTGTGTGTTGGTGCTTTCTAGAATGATAACTAAATTTCCATTTTTTGAGTCAATTTCACAATTTAAAAAACAAAAAAATACTGTAGTGGGTCGTAAAGTAAGCCATATATGTCATCGTGGGGAAAAAAATATATATAAGATAAGAAAGTAAGCTATGGGAAAATCGATCCGACGAGAAGTTGATACCTAACTAGCTAGCTATAGTGAGAGAAAATAAACTTGCACTAATTGTAAATGTTTCACATGCACTTTGTTCATTTTTTTTGTTTTGTCTCTTCATTGCTGGGAAGTGGGAACAAAGGACAAGAAGTAGAATTTCGTTACCAATTCAACCGTTGTCCATGTTTTCATTGTGAGTTGTGATGTTGATTTTTAAATGAGAAATTAAACCGAAAAAATTTGGACTACTAATTGTGATTAACTTATTACCTACAAGCTAGTTGGCCATTTGTCTTTTGAAATACTAACTTCATACAATAAATTAAGGGGTGTTTGGTTGAGGAGAAATTTTTTGAATACTATAGAAATTTAATTGATAGGGAAATGACTCGAAAGTGAGTTTGGTAGGAAAATGTAAAAAAAGTTGTTTGGTAGACTGAAAAATTACCGGGAAAATTGGATTAAGTTTACTGAGTCTATGTTTAATTGAAAGTAGAATATTGATGGAGAAATGTATTAAAAATACGAAAATAACCCTTTTACTTGCTGTAGAATTGGGGCCTTTTACTACAGGTTCAAATACTTCATTTGGTCTGAATTTCTGCATTCCACTCAACTTCAACTTCTTCGTTTATGTTCTCCTTAGTTGTTTCATCAATAACATGTTTCTCATCCTCCATAGCAACTCCATTTTCAGAAATATTATCAATTATAAAAGAAAGGCTAATTTTTTTCATATACCCCCACGATCCTCCATCAATTCAATGATATTTTAACTTAAGCTCTTATTAACGAAGCTTTTCTTTCTTAGAAAACAAACGGTAATCAATCACTCTCAACTACTCTCACTACAACATCTTTTTTTTTTTTTTGCTCATTTTTTTCCTTTAAACAGAGATGTCAGCAAATAACAAGAAAGTCGTGGCTAGTGGGTGACGACGAGATTTGAAAATAAAAGGGTTCTTTTGGTATGACATTTTTCATTTCTCCATCAATTCAAGGATACCCACCCTCTCGGTGGTATTCTTCCAGAGGGTTTTCATCCAAAAATTACACAGTCAAATGAATTCAGGGAAAATAGCTTTCCGAGGGAAGTTTTCTCAATTGGGATACCAAACATGAGATTCATACATGCCCAGCTTCACTTCCCTAGTATTCTGAAAATATACCTCTTACCAAACACCACCTAAGGAAAAAAGAAATCTCTTGTAGTTGGAGAAATCCCTTCTTTTATCACTCTCATTTCGATTTATGTGCTAATCACTTTCTTTTTCCCTTCAAAATGGCCTCATCCCTTTATTTCTCAGCAGGAAAATTTCAACTTTTCTTGCAATATAAAAAATTGCAAGCCGATAAATTAAAGTCCCCTTAGCTCCTGCTGATCCCCTGATGATCGCTTCGATCTCAAGCGTGTAATTTTTGTTTTATGGGCTGAGCCCTCTCTTTAAAAAAAAAAATAAAAAAACCAATAAGTTTCAAAGATAAAGTATATGAATCGTAGGAATATTTAATTTTGTGACTAAAATAATGCTGCACTGTTGATTTGACACATTATATTGTCTAGCATATCAATACTACTATACTAGGAAAGTAAAGTTGTGTTCTTTTTTATTTCATAAAATTGTAACACTAGCAGCGTTCTCCGTTCAATTAGTTAATATTAATATAATTTAGCAGGTAAATTACTAACGGCCATAATAGGTCACATGGGATGGCTAGAACTAGAAGGTAGGCGACCTCACCAACAAATTCTTATGGTCTTGGCATTCAAATATCTGTGTTAGGCAGCTAGGCTATGCTCAGCGGGTGCGTGGAAAACTGCAAGTGCATGACCAAATATATATCGTTATGGAGGAGCAGGTATAATGTTTGCCCACCTACAACATGCACCATGTAGAGGAAACGTATCATGCCCGTTTATTTATTGGGTCTCGAAACTTACTTTTATTTCGGGCTTGAGGAAAAGACAGAGAAGGCTTCAATCAGAAGTCACCTTATAATTTTCAAGTTTTTTATTCTTGACTTACTATGTCAAATTAAGGTATAAATGTCGGGAAAAAACTATTCTGTTTTATTTTATTTTATTTTATTTTTTTAAATAGTGGGTCTCATCACTATGTATCTATGATAAAGAGATAACTCTTCTTCTATTACATAAGAATAGATGAAATTGTTTTTTTTATGTTACATAAAATAAAACAATCTTTTTACACACAAATTTTACGTGAGATTCATTTTAAATTTTTTTTCTATTTTCTATTATCTCTCCTCTTTTTTCCTTTTGTGAGTGTAAGAAGATTGTTTTTATCATATGCAACATAATAAAAACAATTTCCATAGTTTATCTCAAGTGTTGCTCGAGATAAATTGGCTTACCTTGTGAGGAACAAAAACCGACGGGGTGTTTGAACTCTGTCTCATGTTTTCACCAAAAGCTCTCTCTCTTTTCTTTTTGTCTTAGCAAATGCTGCCTATTTATTTCTTATATATAACTCCTATCATTGAAAATCGATGAAGTCGATCAGAACTGAATTAGAATAAAGTCGGTCGTATATTCTCTTTATATTATTGTTCACTCAATTAAAGTTTTAGTTTAATAAAAAAAATTACCCTTTAAATTTTGTTTCTTCTCCTTTAGTTGTCAACATTTTTTTAACCTTAATTAAAAATATTTAATTGGAGGGCTAAATAAAATGAGAAACAGAAGAATGATACAAAATATTTGAATCGTTTAATGTCGGCGAATGGTGATAGTAAATGCAGACTTTAGACTTCGTACTTTTTTTTTTTTTGTAAATTTAGACTTCGTACTTAATCATTGACAGAAGAATATTCTTTTTCATGTAGCTTTTTTTAAAAATAAAAATACATAAAAACATAAAATGAAGCATAGAACTGAATTTATTTGTCCTTTTAAGTGAATGCAACGGGGTAGGTGTGGCTGAAGTAGAACTGCATTCAGTAGAATCAGTACTATTTCATCTCTAATTAAGAGTAAAATACCAAGCAACAATTTGAGAGTTCAATCCATTTCTTTATCCATTACAAACATTCAGTACTTCAGGGCTAACACACTTTAGTAATAGCTGATACAATATGTCACTCATATCCAGATTCAGACAGTATCAACTAATATAAAATGAACTATACCCTGATCAAGACTTAAGATGTACTAAAAAATACAGAAATATACAAATAAGCCACCTGCATGAAACCTGGTGGATCAAATGATGTGATGCACAAGAAATTTGGCAGATTCCTAAACTAGACAACATTGCACTACAATTCACAGACAAATTGAGCTCAATACAGCACTATTAATATCTATAGGGTAATTGAAAGGTGACTTTGTGGCAAGAGATCTCCACGTCTTCTTTTTTGGGTTATAGATTTGAATGCAGAGAGTTCCTGGCCTCTTCTGGTGTCTGGACCTTCGTGTTTCTGTAGAATCAACAACACATAAATGTGTCACTACATACAGTTCCCCGTCTAATACTACAAAACCAAATGACGAATTGTAAGGAGCTTTTCTTGGCACACGAGACTCATATAGCCAACGATTTGAAGACATGTCATATCTGCAAGGTGTATACATATTAAAAAAGTCAGCAACAGATTTACAATTCAAAAGTTTGGAATTGTAATTTACAAGTAAACAAGCAGAGCAATCAAGAATTTGCATGATCTCTACTAAGTATGAGAATTGCAGGAAGTTCAGGCAATATAATCCAAGGATATACAATGACAGAAAAAAATTTGAAAGTACAAAAATCAATTAGGATGCATGTTTGAATGAGTACATAATACAAAATAACAGAGACAAAGGAATGTAGACCTGTTAGCAAACATTCTACTTCTGGCCCCCCAAATGATTGACAAGCAAGCCAATTAACCAATATAATTTTTTCATTATCTTCTAGTATTTTATAGCAAATCCTTATCATCCATTCTGCGATACAAAACATTGAATAAATAGGGCTCAAATATCCTGGCAGAAGGCAGGAACCTTCCCCAATTCAGAATCATGGATCAGTTAAGCAAGGTCTTTGAAGTTTTGATTATGCTTGTCTCATTTATCCATTTGTCAAGTGCCATAGGAAAAAGGGGAAAAAATTTCAAGTTAAATAAATCACATATTTTACAAGTGCCAAAGTTACTATGCGTGATAAAAAGCACTTTGCATAAATTTCTATTATTCTATATACCAGCACCTGGTTTCCATAATTCAGAATTTCATATGTTTCATGTTCAAGCCACTCCAAACATCAAGGTATAATCTGTTTCAATTTCACAAATATCGGAATATTTTATACTACACATTTTACACTTCACACTACAGTATTAGTTTAAGTGCAAACATTTTCTACACTGAACTGAAGTGATTGAAAGACACAAGGCACTGCTACCGCAACATACATATATATATATATATATATATATATATATATATTCTCTAATAACACAGACTTATTGCCACAAAACCACAATTAAATACAGAGCCTAGATACTAAGTGGTAACACAATGAAAGTAGTCAAACCACTAGCCTTCTTTTGCAATACATATGGTTTTAAACCTAAGACCTTTACAACCCTAACCCAAAACAGCACCTGCCCAACCACCAACCTAAGTCCTGGTATGCAAGGTTGTCAAGATCGAGATTTTACCTAAGATCGAAAGGGGTCAAGAAGATCATAAATCGTGAGATCAGTATGGATAGTAAGATCTTACATTTTCTCTTAGTACTTAAGATCTTATATTTTTAATTTTAATTATAAATATATTAGGTATTTATATTCCTAATTTTAATTATTAAAAACAATATATTAAGCTTTTCAATTTTAAACATTTAACAATTAAGAAAAAAAAGGGGAAGAATTAACATTTAACATTTAACATTTAAGGGGGAAAAAGAAGAAGAAAGTGCAGGCAATTTCGCAAACAAACAAATAAGACCCACTCAGCATTTAAGCAAACAAGATCCACTCAATATTCATATAATATTAAGCAAACAAAAAATAAAAATAAAAAGTGCAGCCTATAGTCCTATACCAGTTGGCCGTCACAAGTCACAATTCCACTTGGGCAATAGAAACTGCATTGTACAAATTAGCAACTCAAAACTCAAAGTGAAAAAGAGGATCACACGTCTCAAGCACACACCAGTGGAAGAAGAGGGTCGCAACTCACAGTAGTAGAAACGCACACACAAGAGATGAGAGAGTCACCATCTCACCGCCAAGCACAGACCATTCCCATCACTGTCTCTGCAAGGATGAATGTGCAGATGGCCGTCCCAAGCAAGGATGAGATGAAAAAAATGGAGTTAGGGTTTTTGAATTTGGATTTTTTGTGATTTGGGTAGTGGGTAAGTTTTCTGGGTTATGGGTCAAACTTCTGGATGTGGTTTACAATCGTTGGAACAGTGGGATCAGATTTCACGTTTTTTCTCGTCTATCTTGTTCGATCTCAGAGAAGCACGATCCCATTCGCGATCTGGCGTGCTAATAGAAAAATAATCGTAGGATCGTACAATCTTACAATTTTTCACGCGATTTTAACAACAATGCTGGTGTGAGTGTGATACACATACACAAAAGACCAGGGGTGTAGCAATAACAGGGAGTCATATGGATAAAGAACAAGTTCAACATTCATGTTGATTAGAAAGGGAAAATAATTTTTCAACAACCAAATTTGTTACCCATTATATAGATATTGTTAGAATATCTAGAAAATATCTCATAATATTATGATTACATCTATATTAGAGCATCTTAGATCATTTCTCAGGATTGGTTTTCATATTTCCTTATATTCCATGATTTGTTCCCTTATTTGATTAGGATTAGGAGTCTACTATTAGTATAAGTAGGTGTTATTACTTTGTCTTTCGTAAAACATCCTTCATATCAAATCAATATCAATATCAGATTATATACTCTGTATTCTCTCTATCTTCCTTCCCTACCTAAATCCGTATAATTTCAATAGTTATAATAAGTTGTTAGCAACTATTTATACAATTTTATTTTTTTCAAAAATAGAGGTATGCTAGTCACTCCTACAAATTTGCGCCACATCTACACCTACACATTTGGTAAAATCAGAGTTTAACTGGATCCTTACTGGAATCATCTAAAGTTTAACTGGACTGAGTAAAACATTTTATGTAATACTCAGATTTGTTTCCATCAAAACAAAGTGGTCAAACTCATAACTCCTACCTTCGATTGGACAAGGGAGGTGTGAACGGAAAACATGAAATCGTAACACAAAATGTAAGATCCTAACTAATATGTAAAATTATATTCAAAAACACACACACACACACACACACAAAATTACAATCAGAACTAACATTTAAATATATTCTATTTCAAAAAGCATAATAAATGTAAGTTTTTAAGATTGTGCACAAGCATTATAACAAAACAAAGGCCTCTTACCAACCAAAGACAAGCCATGCCTTAATATCAAAACAAAAGCTTCTAAGTTCTAACCTACCAAAGACAAACCCAACACCAACAGGAAATGACACAGGACAAAAATAGAGGGATACAACTAAGAAGCAACACCCACAACCAGGAAACCCAACACTCAGTCCAAGTCACACAAACCAGTAAAGCCAGCAGTGAACACTTGAACAACAAAACACAAACCGGAAACAGGGGAAGTAAGAAAACCCAAACTCAATACAAGTCGAAGTCCCACCACATCCCAAAAGTCTCAATCAAAGTTGCATCAGTCATCTCAGTCACACTCTATTGCTGGGCTGAAGTCGCATAGTGCAACAGCCTAGCCAAGGTCACTCCACCGCAGAGTCATAGTTGCAGGAAGGGTGACGGTTTTGAGGAGAGAAAATGGTGAAATTAATATAAGGTTTCGTGGATGAAATCTTGTGGGTTGGAATGGGTGGTTTAAGAGTGCTTTTGGTGGAAATTTGAGAATCACCGGAAAGACAAGATTCAATGCGCTTTAATGACCAAACATACAATTCATCTCTAATTCCAGAAAATTGAGTTCTCACCTGGGAACAGGATATGGCAAAAGCTGGCATAACCCGTAGACTCGTACGATTCTACCATCTGTAGCATGATTTTGATTACCACGCACCAAACAAGTTTCCAAAAAGAATTTCTCAAAACACAAAAAAAAAAAAAAAGAACGCCACAATTAAGTTATAATGACAGATTAAACTTTACCAAAAAGGAAGAAGCTTCCATTCCATTTCCGGGTACAAGGTGCAAACTTGCCCAGAAATACGATGAAGTATACTTACATACATTCTGAAAAAAACTTTAAATGTGCATTAAGAATTAGTTTATTGCACACAACCAAGATGGCTAGGCCCCTTATTATACTTTTGCTTTCAAAACAGTATATTTCAACAAAAGTTTCAAAAGAACGGCCTAAACAGCCTAGGTATTTGTTCCAATTTTAATTAGCAAATCTACAACACAAAATAACAGAAAGAACGGTTCCCACATTAGTATGCTAACCACCCTATTTTCATACGGCACAAAGATTCCACAACAACAAATCTGTATGGTCTATCTGCACAACATACTCATCAGTGATCAAGTAATGAAAAACCACATGTATAGTAATTCATTCATAAATTCATACCTTAACAAACAAAATAACCAAAAAAAAAAAAAATTTCAGCTAATGAAAATGCAGAAGCATAAACTTGTAAGAGTGAGAAATCAGAAAGTACCTTAAAATCTCATTCCCATCAAGCATGAAAACCGCAGGACAGTCTTGATCACCGGACACAACAATCTTCCCAACCCTAACCCTTTCCCCATTACCCCACACATCCCGAATCTCTCTCCACGTTCCATCTTCCAATTCCATCACCACAGCATCCCTATAATACTCGTCCACCGGGAAAACCCCCGAAATAGTCCTCGACGCACCGTATCCACCCATCACGCAAAACTCCCTCCCATTCCCAGCAACGAAACCAACGCACCCAGCACGAAAACTAGGCAAAGCATCCACCGCGACCCACCGGTCCCTCCGCACATCGTATCGCTCCGCGGAGCGAATCCGGGTGCCAGCGGCGGCGAACATGGTGTGGCGCGACCCACCGCCGGCGACGAGGATATGGCCGGAGGAGGGGATTGCGGCACAGGCGAAGCTTCCGCGCGGGGAGAGCATAGGGGCGCGGGGCTCCCAGGAGAAATCATGGAAGTTGAATCGGAAAGTGGAGGAAGTGGAAGAGGGACGGTCGATGGGGAAGGAGCGAGTGTCGAAGAGGGAACCGCCGAGGACGTAGAGGTGTGGGCCGAGGGGCACGGCGACGAAGTTGCAGAGACCGTACACGTGTGGGTTGCAGGGCATACGAGGGAGTGGGCACCAAGCGACGGCGTTTGGGTCGAAAAGAAAGGGTGAGGCGATCGAAGGGTCTTGTGGGAATATGCAGAGAAGGTGGTTGCGACGGAGGGATGACAAGAACGACTTCGACGACAGCACCGTTCTCCATGATTTGCATGTCCCTTTCAGCCTTCCGTGGTGGCAGTACGGCACCATCGAGAGGATCATCACTGCGACGTCGTTTGGGAGACCCGGGATTAGGCTCGTAGACTCCGAACCCATCATTCCTGTCGACCTTCCCTTCACCGATTGCATTTCTAGTTTTCTACTGTCATCACTTTCTTAGCATAAAAAGAAAAAAATAATAATAAAATAAAATAAAAAAATTCCACCTTTTCTTTTTCTTTTCTTTTTTGTGTAATGCAAAATAGTGGAAGTGGAACAGTTGACATTTTCCTTCTCTAAATATCTTTTATTTATTTTTTTGGGTCTAGTGGGACCGGGCTTAGGAGTGGTGTGTAAATGGGCTTGTAAGTTGGGTTAAATGGGCCTCCAAGCACGCGTAGGTGTGACAGAAACGTAGATGAAAATTCTAAAGAGCAATGGATATTGTGTGAATCTGTCAAGAAGAACAGGTATGACTATGACCTTAGTTAGTGATTCTAATCATTTTTTTAGTTTCCTCTGCTAAAAAATCTTCTAAGTAAAATTTGTAATCTCTGTCCTGTTTCGATGCAATTTTTAAAATTGTGTTCTCTAATGTTCATTTTGGAAACATTAAAGTTTCATCGCTTCATGACAGCACAACTTTTCATGTGTGGCTGAATTTTTACTATTAGCGTTACTAGAGATAAGTCATGTGCTATATTTGGTGATATCAAATTATTTATTGAACTTATTCTTATTTTAGGTGTGACGCAAGTGCTATGGAAGCTGCACTTTGTGCCCGTGTGATGATTACCCCGGAAGGAATCATCGGGATTAAGGAGAATTCTTGACAGTTGGCAGGGGTTTAAGCAATACACTGTATTATCGTTTATTTGAATGGTAGTGGTAATATGAACAAAAAATGTTCGATGCTTGTTTATTGCTATTTGTTTATTGAAGTCTGAATACTTCCATGTTTCACTAAAAAAGAGTAAAAGAAAAAATACATACATACATAGTAAAAGAAATTAAAGCAATGTTGCTTCTGTCAAAACCGTAGTTTGCAGTGCGAAATTGGTTTTCATAATTTTGCCAAACATGGGTGTGAACGTCGAAATAATGTTGGCAACGTTTTTACAAACACGGTCATATTAGATGAGTCAAATGGCAGATATTGTGAAAATTTTGTATGTAACATACCCTTTGCATAGGTTTTTCTTTGTTTTCTGTCTTTCCGGTTTCGTCAGTTGTTTTTTTTTTTTTTTTGGTAGATACTTTATAAGGTATTTCAAGACAACCTCCTCCAATGATTTTGTTCTCGAAATATGGCCTATAAAGTTAAATTTTATTGAAACAAAGAGTACATTGAACTACTGTCACGGAACGGAAGGAAGGGTGAGAATAGTGACATTAATCCTCTTTGGAGGGGAGGGGGTTCTGTCGGTATTAAATGGTAATGCAACCTGCTTATTGGCGCTTCACAGTTCACATTCTTCAAGTGACAAATTTTCCTCAAATGAAATTGTGGCCAATGTGGCGGAAAGAACTTTGTCCAGCGAATTGCATTTGTTGGTTGTCCTACTGGGGGACAAATTTTGCGGGCTAACACTTATGGGGTTAACGGGCCGAGCCGAGCTTTGGTCTTAAAAGGCGAAGTCTGTATTTAAATATGTTAGCCTGGCTAAGCCTGTTACCTGTCACAAATATAATTTCAGCCTGTGGCCTGTCTTATTTACAAAAAATGAAAGCTTGTTTTAGCCTGTTTAAAAAAAAATAAGACAACAAAAATTTATCCAAATAAAATATACAATCAACAGCACTAGTAATTCCATAAATATTTAATGTATATCCAAATATCATAATATAAAATAAAATCATTCAAAAAATCTGTTTAATTAATAAAATGGAATGAAATGGTTTGAGGAGAGAAAGAGGGGGTTATCACAAGTAGTACAAAAAATATAAAATAAAAAAAATTAATATATTAGGTAAGCCTGAGAGGCTCTAAGGCCGAACCTTTGAATTGGAGTCTTAGACTTTTTTATTAAACGAGCTTTTATACAAGTCCAAGTCTGGGTCCAACAATCAATTTTAGACATGTAAGCTCAGGCCTTCACGAGCCGAGCCAAAGGCCCCTGTAAGACCCCTGGGTCGTTGAGCACCCCTACTAACACTTAATTTTAAGCTTGGCTTGCCAAAAACAAGCACTTATTTTGCCTCATTTATTTAAATAAGTTAATTTATTTAACAATATGAAATTTAAATTCAGCTTATTTAACTCGTTTACAATGAAATTATTTTATTTGTTTTAATAAAATGTCTCCATAAAATATTTTTTAAGTTTATTAATTTAGTATTTAATAAATATTCTTATATAAAAGATAAAGTGAAAATAAGAAGAAAAAAATTGTCTGAATATTAAAATCAAGTATAAAAAATCATAAATATCTAGATAGAATCATAATTTATTAAGTGATATCAATATATAAATTATATTTTAATTTTGATGCATTATTAACATAAAAGTTTGACACTATCATTGAGTAATATATGGTGGTTTATACCTTGTAATATACAAACACACCAATTATCCAGACAGGAACAGTTGCAAATCACTAACACAGTAAGAGAGCAGGTGAGATGGTCCGCCCCTCCCTTGCAATAATAAGAAATTGTAATATATACACTGACACCAATTTCTTATATTTGAGCTTTTAGTCCTCCGAATGAAAATAAGTGTTTTGAAATGTGTCATTAGGCGCTAGAGCGCAGAGACGTTGAGGCTTCAAAGCGTGTATATTTATTTTTTTTAAATGTTTTTTAAAAAGTCCACTGACCCACGAAAATAAATAAACAAATCAACCATAGCTCGAGCATAAAAGTGCTCAAGCAAATTGGAACAAAATCTATTAAATAAAAAAATTAAGATTTTATCAGCTCGAGCGCATGATCCTTAACACTGTCCTTTTTACGATAATGTATTCTTTTGTGAAAAAAATGGTATTAATTCGCCGGGGCAAATACCTGAATATGACCTCTCAGGTCTTAACATCAAACATGTTACATGCGAGGGGGATAAAATGGATAAACATATGACTATTTCAAACGTAACTATTTTGATGAAGTTTTTTATTTTTTTAATTTAAAACTTTGGAGTTCTATAAACTTAGACATGCGAGACATGTAAGAAATTTTTATCATCAATAATTCAACATAAAGACCAATACATGTATGATACATAAAACATCACATATCAAATTTTGATTCAGACAGGAATTTGTGTATCTGATTGGACCATATTATTTACTGAGCGATGAACCTTTATCTCACGGCTAGAGTCTTCCTCTCTATGACCTATTCCAAAAGTGGCAGCCTCAGCGATGAGAGCATGACGACTCATGGGATTTAATCCCAATATATATAGGTTAGAGAGGGGACCTAGCCAAATACCCTAAAAAGAGTTTGTGTCCATTGGGTCCACCCATCACAGAAAACCAGAGTCACACCAAAGTCTACACTGCTGCCCAACTAGGCCCAATATCAACAGATGCTAAAAGCCCAACTCAACATGATCACAACTGACTTATCAAAATAATACAATTGGAATATCCATTAACCCGATTAATTTTAAAATAGAAAAATAATTAATTAATATTGCCCTGAAGGAAAATTCTAACAAGGGCGACATGTCGCTCAGTTGAGAACAAAATTCCTGATATAATTAAACTTAAATTTTAAAGGTTCGGGTCTGTACCAAGCAGCAAACTCTTAGGTGGATAAAGAACTTTCTACTATAGCTACTGTCTTTTTCTTCTTTTCTTTTCTTTTCTTTTCACGATAAAGGGTATTATTATAAAGTCAGCTTTTATGTTTTTTGGTTTTACCAAATATCCTTAAACTGGGATACTAAACCTCTCTTCGGCGATCTTTAAGGATGCACTTCTCACTTCAACCTGATACAATTAAAAAAAAATTCTATTAATTAAGTGTTGAACCAAGAGTTAAATTCAAGTAGTTAAGGCATAATACGCACTTTCTCAACCATTATAGGGTGCTTGTTAACTTTTATTCTAATTAAAGCATGCCATCTATATGATATCTGGCAAACTAATACTCGAAATGTGGTTTATCATGTAATTAATAACTCTATTTCCCTTGCAATAATAAGAAACTAATGATCGTGCTACACCTCTTTTTTTCTTTTTCTTTTTTTCAATTGATTCAGAATTTAAAAACTTGGTAAGAGATCAACGGCAAAGAAGTTGTGTTTTTATTGTGTGGCTACATATCCTTCCAATAATATATACTTCAGAAGTAAAATGTTAAAAGCCACCTGAGTATAATAGTATAAGCATTATATGCGAGAGTTTTCCAGGTTAAGGCAAAAGGGAATACCACTTTCACACAGCTTCTCCATTATATTTGCTAAGAAATATCCAAATACAGTAGCTGCAGACAGTGGAAGATGAAGTGTACACATGCTTAGATCTTCACTTCCTGCCTCAGAATATATGAAGGTAAGCTTCAATATTAACATATTCATGGATCAATCTACTTTGCTTTGAAGTCCAAAGTGAGTGTATCTTGTAAGAGATTCATATGACCCTTTCTTAATTTATTCTATATATGGTGACAAAATCAAATTTTTCTTTTTAATAATATATGGTTATCTTTTCTTCTCTCTACAGGTAATTAACAGTTTGGACTGAACAAAACAAAAAGCTTCATGGAAGGAAACTATCTAACTAGAAACAGAAATAAAGGGGAAAGCTTTGGACTGGAGGAGCATACATGGGGAACTTCATGGCCTGTGAGAAACTATGCTTGTAGTTTTTGCAAGAGAGAGTTCAAATCTGCTCAAGCTTTGGGTGGTCACATGAATGTTCACAGGAGGGATAGGGCAAGATTGAGATCATCCTTATCCTCATGGGTTTCTGAGTGTCCTAAACCTAACCCTAGTATTAAGCCTAATAACCCAAGTCATCTTTCACCTTCCTCACCATCATATCTATCTGATAATAAGATTTTGAATTGTGCACATCATTCTCCACTTTATAGCCCTTGTCTTACATTGTCTTCTTCCCTTTCCCTAGCTTCTACCAGTGGAGATAAGAAACCAAGACTCCAATCTTCCCAGCTTCCTCTTTTGAGTCCTCAAAGCAGGGAAATTAGGAGTGCTTTAGGAGTTGAGGAATTAAAGGGTTGTGCACTTGAGGATGAACACAAGTTTTTCAAGAATAATGAACACAACATCACGTTGGAGTTGGGAATAGGATTGCATAAACACCCAAAGGAGAAGTTAGATTTGGAACTTCGATTGGGGCATTTCTAGCTAATTAAAGTAGCTTGGTGCAATTTATCAAACAAATATATGTAGCTGCAAATTTAAATTTGTTCTAACTTCTTGCACCAGTTATTTGTTAATCCACTTAAGCTGCTTTATATTATATTCTGCATTTGAAGGAACTTAATTATCATCATTTTGTGAGGTGAGCTCTTCTAATTTGATGGCGTTAAGGTCAGAGAAGTTCTTTTTTCTTTCCTTTTTTTGGGGGATTTCTAGCCATTAATTTGATGGTTGATCCAAGGAGCGTAGAAAACCATTTTGGTGCAATGGTCAAGTGATGAGAAATTGAAGGCCACAACAACAAATCACAAAGAGAAGGAGATGAAACTGGAGAGATTCTTAGTTAATTTACATAATGTTGTAATGGTTTCAATTGGCCGTCAAATTTTACTTTTGGTATTCACTTTTCACCTTAATCGTCTGAAAGCCAATAAGTAGAGTTCTTGTTTAGTTTGACTGAATATGAATATCAATATGATTCAAGATAGATGAACACGTGATCATTCAGATAAGTATTCTTTATAATATCCATGCATTTTCCTGGGTATATGCACCCGTAGTCTTTATGTTTCTTGAGGGTAGTTTCTGTCATGTTCTTTCTTGGAAACACAATATTCATGTTCAAACAGGGATCAATGAGATCAAAAATCTTCTTTTTATCATAAAATTCTCAATAAGATTGATTGTATATATAAGGTGTACAATAAATAAACGATCAGATCTATATATAAAATAATATTAACTGAACATTTTTCGTTTAAAAACTGAATGTACAGTTAAGTAGCAACTTGAATACTTATACTACTATATACTCGTTATATTATATACTGCAGTTAATCAACCCACACCTATATTTTCTTAGACACCATAGACGGAGCTGATTTATTTATTGAACAGTCATCTAAAAATACTGGCTAAAAGTTTTAGAATTCATCATATATAAAATAAGGGGCAGGTTATATTTACAAACTTTTTTGTTTATAAATTACACTAAGTACGACTAGTCATACTTTAATCATGCAGTATATGACCGGTCGTACTTAATATAATTTACAAAAAAAATTTGTAAACGGATCTTATCCCATAAAATAAACAGGTCAAACTTCTCTGTAAATTTCATTTCTTTTTGTATTCCTATATTAACCGACCATATATGTTAGCATATATGTATAAATCAACATACTTATTTGTATATTAAAGAGAAATATTATTCCTATATTACTTTCCCATACACTACCCTTTCCACCTTTCTTTTTGTAACAAAAAAGAGAAACGTAAGTTTCTATCTTTTCTTTTCACCCGTGAAAAGGAAGGTGTAAAAATAGGATATATGAGAAAGTGATATAAGAATAACATTACTCTATATAATATGATAAGCAGGTATTTAATGCTCTTGGTGATTTTGAAAGCGCCATGCTTTTGGTATATATATATATATATATATATATATATATAGATATATATATAGAGAGAGAGGTAGGATCCTTTGACACCAATGTCAAATTTGAAATTTGACACCTCATCTGAGAGCCATTAGATCAAAAAAGATCAATGATGTTACATGCTTACAAATCAGAGCCATTGATCTTTTTTTATCTAATGGCTCTCAGATGAAGTATCAAATTTCAAATTTGACACTAGTATCAAAAAATCATACCTTATATATATATATATATATATATATATATATATATATATATATATATATGAGATTACGTAAGCATATAATATACGAGTAGAATGAAAAGGAAGACCCAGAAAATATGTCAGGAGACTCAGGAGGGACATTCAACATGTTCTGAATTTGATGTCTTTTTCAGATAAACTGTCAAACAGAACAAAGAGGACAGAGAAAGGAAATGCCAGAGAGAGAGAGATGATGATTTTGCTTAGTGTAGCTTTATCGATGGATAGATGGTAACTTAATTCGTTTTCATTGTCTAATTTATTCCAAGTGGTTTAAATTTTGGTGTTTGTAATGGGGACTTTGTGTTTCCCAACATAAGATATATTGCATGTTCCCTATGTGATGTCTGGCTTACATACCATGATGACCTTACCCTAAAAATAAACGTATAGTTTTTGTCAGTACCATCCAAAACAAGAAATGCCACTTCTCTTTCTCTCTTTCTTTTGATTGTTCTGTGAAAATCAGTACCCAAAGATTAAGATCATTATAATTGTAAAGCGGGGAAGTTTTTGAAATAAGAGACCACACTGCAACAGGGAAGGTTTTTTTTTTTTTTTAGAAATATTCAAATCGGTTTATCGCTTCGTGATTAATCTGATTCGGAGCGGATCTCAAAATTAAGATTTTAAATCTTCTCAAAGATAATACTTAAAAAGATCAAACACATACTCAGTTTCTAACCCTAAGGGCATGTTTGATACATAGTATAGGATAAGGCCTGATAGTATAAGATCTGATTGTATAAGGCTTGACTAAATTTTAATATTATCCAGTGTTTGGTATGGTATTGTATAAGATAATATCCTTCAATATTTTATAAATTAATATATTTAAAAAATTATTTTAATATATTAACATTGAAATGATATATTAGTTCTTGAAAATTGTACTTGTAAGCAATATTAATACATCAACCCTTATCAGGTCTAATCCCACCCCTTTAAGCCGGATTAAATTATATATCATTTTGATGTATTAAGAAGTTCTGATGTATAAACTTATACTATATGATGGTCACACTAAACAACTGAAAATGTCATAACGTATAGTATAAGTTTATACTATCAAGCTTTATACATCATACCAAACAGGTCATAAGTGAGTTAGGGAGGGAGACTTTAGATTTGAAGAAGAAGTGAACTGTATGTAGTGCAATGATGTCACTTAAGTATGAATGAGGAATAATGAAGGTGGGAAAGATAAATGGACATCTGGGGTGTACAACACAAACTGCTAAAAGTGCAATTCTAGTGAAAGAAGGAGGAATGGGTTAAAGTAAGTTAGTCGGCGCATGTCACTTTCCTCTTCCATTCATTCATCTCCTTATTTACTTTTCCTCACCCAAACTACCTTTGCCATCAAGCACTACACACCAAACCCAACCTCTTCCCAAACCCAAAGAGATTAAAATAATACCTTTCTCTCTTCTTTTAATGATTCCTCACTTAACCCCTTGTTTTTCTCTTCCTGAAGTTTACACCATAAATTCCTCCATAGCTTACATGCTAATCCGTTCACTATAGCTGCCTATGTTTTTGGTTAATTTTATTTTCGACTTAGACCTTGGCCACTAGTGGGCTCATGGTGGCTGAGGCACAACTAAATGGAATGGGCCAATTTTAATGATGCTGAATGAGGCCAAGGGCCTACTTTGACTAAAGATGCTTCCTGGTTTTTTTTTTGGTAAATGTTTCCTGGTTTTTAACTAGTGCAATTGTGCTTCATAACCTTGTTTGTTGGTTTTTTTCACTCAGGGGAATTGTTTTTTCATTTACATAAGATAAATTTATTTTTTTTACACTCACATATTGAGTGGTGAGATTCATTTATACTTTTTCTCTCTCCTCTCTCTCATATATATGAGTATAGGAAAATAAGTTTATCTCATGTTAAATGAGAAACAATTCTCTAAAATGATATACCATATTATACACACTTTCTCATAAGTAAAATTATTATCTTCAATAAGAGTTTATTTTATTTTATTTTTATTTTTAATTTTTTGGGAGGGGTTTTCATGACCCTAATTTCCCTTTTAGGATGAGTCAGGTTCCTTAAATATTTTCACAACTTAAGCAGAAAAAAAGGTTTCGTACCTATACTAGATTAATTCCGAGTTGGATGCATAATAATTATCCAAATTCGGCCCAAATATCCTCTCCATGATTTGAAGCACTGTTTTTTGACTGCAGTTAATATTATCACGGGAGAGAAAAAAAATTAAAATATTACTATTTTAATAAATAATTACGAATATATAGATGTTTCGAAATTATTTACGGATTTATTGTACTCATTAATATTTAAATTAGGCGTGATTATTCACGCCTAATTTAGGCGTGACTCCCAATGCATTCATGCCTAATTTAGGCGTGAATCATCTGGTGTCGACACGTGGCAAAAAAATCAACTTACGAACGGTAAAACTTTGAAAAGCCATAACTTTTGACTTGGGCATCCGAATGAGGTAATTCTTTTTTTAATTCCACATAAATTTTCGAGATCTGCACAATGACATCTCATTTGATATATTTTATCTCTCACAAACACAATTCAAATTTGCAATAATTGTATTATATAGTGTACTACCAAAAAAATTAAAAATTATTATTAATAAGAAAAACAAAATAAAAATTTAATTTGTGATTTAAACTCAAAAATCAATATGAAAAATCCGTATTAATAAAGAAAATAATTAAATAAATATTCTAAACACTTGGTAGAATATTATATAAATTTGTATATATTTTAATATATTAAATAAATAACCTTGTACACTATTTCTTTCAAACACTTGGTAGAGGCAAAAAATTAAAATATTGCTTTTTTAATAAATAATTACGAATAAATTGCCATTTTGAACCTAATTACGAATATATTGCACTCATTCACGCCCAATAATGGTACTATAACATTAAATTCAAAATTCAAATAACTTCCAATATGTTGATTGCATTTTGTATTTAATAGGAAATTTGGTGTCATCTTATTTATAGATGACTTAACCACTTTGGTGCCATCTTTATAGTATCATTGTTGCAAATTTGAATTGTGTTTGTGAGAGATAAAATATATCAAATGAGATGTCATTGCGTAGATCTCGAAAAGTTATGTGGAATCAAAAAAAGAATTACCTCAATCGGATACCCAAGTCAAAAGTTACGACCTTATAAAGTTTTACAGTTAAACTATTAATTTTTTGTGCCACGTGTCAATACCAGACGAGTCACACCTAATTTAGGCGTGAATGCCTTGGGAGTCACGCCAAACTTAGGCGTGAATAGTCACGCCTAAT